AACTTGTATATAGACTGATACTGCACTATTCCACATCATAACTTTATTTCATTTTTATAACTATTATTATTTTTGTATTGCTCATGCTCTTATTGTTATTATGTTATGTTATTATGTTGCATTGTTGGAGAAGCCTGTGACATAAGATTTTCAACTGCATAATTACTCTGTAGCTATGTCAGATTGACAATAAAGAACCTTGAACCTTGAACCTTGAAGACCGCAATTCTATTGAAAATGGGATCTTACTAAGAGAGAACAATTCAATATTTAAATGATAAAATTACATTTTTTGGGTATCCTTTTTGTTGAACTGTCTGTTTAAAATTAATCGAAGCATCAGACAAAAAAAGCTTTTGAAAATAATATTATATTTTGGTTTAGGTCAAAATATAATATTTGTAAACCTGAAGAGTCAGTGCCAGTGCCTCAGCCATGAACCTCACTGCACGTCACTGCAGAAGCTTATATAGACATCTAAGTTTTTTGTGCCCCACCACTTTTGTACATATAAAAACGCCACTGATAATATATATGATATGATTTGATTATAATGATTGATCATTAAAGTGTTCTCAAAGCTGGTAAAGGTGCAGCTAGTTTGAATGACTTTGTATACTGCAGGCAGTGGCGGCCGGTCCATAGGGGCGCTAGGGGCGCCGCCCCACCTCTTCCCATATTGATAAAAATAAATAATAATTAAAATTAAAATAAAAAAAAAAAAATATGTTTAAAAAAATATATATGTTTTTATTTTTATTTTTAATGAACAAGGTAAATATTATATAATTGGTATCAGTAAAATGTATAATCTACAATAAAATCTCGTTTAAAATTGTGTTACGATGTCTAAAGTTACTGATAAGTCACATGTTTCCTGCCTGGCCTTGCCCATGCACCTTCTCTCGTCTGGGCGCTAAGAGAGGAGCCTTCAACCAGTGCAGCAGCAGCCACCAGCAGCTGACTGTTGCTATCTGTAACGTGTAAACTATGCCGCGAAAATATAATTTCAGCCAATTAGCGTCGTCAAAGATGACGGTCACCGGGCGCCAATGTCAGCGCCCAGTGCAGTCTGTGAGTAGTTTGGACAGTGACTCGTATCCGGTTGACGCAGTAGTTGATGAGGATGGCTTCGTGTGCAGGTGGAGTCTCCGGACCTCGGTCCGCGCCTAATTCTGTTCAAGAGCTAATCTCCAATCCTTTCGAAAGGAGAAGTTTGGCAGATAAATTGTTGCTTAAAGACCTTGCACCGGACCAACCCGATTTGAATATATCGCAGCAATCTCGTGAAAAAGACAACATTTATACACGAGGCTTCACAAGTAGCTGGTACACAAGAAAGGCTTGGCTAGCTGGATGCAAACAGGTAAATGCTGTCTTTTGTTTCCCATGCTTGGATATCACTTTATATGTAGAGAGGAGGTTTCCCATGGTTGTTAGAAGTTTATTAATAAGTGGGCATTTATCACAGAAGTGATTGTTCTGTCTCCACGTTTGTTGCATTGTCTGTGATGTATTTTCCAACGGTTATAGCTCCTGTTCTGTCCCAGCAACACTACACGGTTTGCAGCTCCACCACATTTTTGGTTTATCTTCGGTGTCGCTTAAAATCTGCTTCCCATCGGACTAAAACCTCCACGTAATCTGAAGACAGATACTTGAAGTTATTTAAACCTTTTGCAAACTTTATGTTCTTTCTTGCTCTAGCCTTGCCAGATACATTGTACATAACACATATATTATCATTATGCTAACTGGTTGTTCGTGTTAGACGATGTAGCTTTTTCATTTCTGAGTTATTGATATATGTAAATAAGCCTGTTTGTAAATAATCCTCAGAGAAACAAAGAAAAAACACAATTTATGACATTTTGTGCTGTGGTTATTTTTTTTAAATTGCATTTATTCACAGTTCAGTTTGAAATGCTGTAGTGACTTGTATTGAACCACTTAAATATTTATAATTAATGCTACTGAAAAGATGCTATTAATTTTATATCTCACATGCAGTTCACTGTAAAGCTACTTGGTGAAGGTGTTGGTTCATAAAACATGAACAGTTTTAAGAAAGAAAAAAACAGACCAGTTCTGAGAACACAAATTCCTGGTAAAGTAGTAGATGTTCAGGTTGATAAATAATATTTTCCACACTGAAGATTATGGAGGTATTGATCAGTCTTCTCATATTTTTAAGCCTCGATTTCTCCTTCCCCCCCCCCTCTAACATCACCAGAAGTCATCATTTAAGGGGTCATTTCTCGAAAAAAAAATTCGGGGGGAAACCCCCCGGGTAGGTCACTTGCGGTACGTCAAGAGCCCCACCAAAAAAAAAGACCACCGGCCGCCACTGACTGCAGGGTAGCTTGTGAATTTACTCCAGGTGGAACTAAAGTCTGATTTAACACTTGATTATATTTCACATCATTTATCCAGATCTGTAAAGTAACCAAAGGTATTAATAGTCGTAGTAGAAGAGAAGTACACTATTTACTGAAATGTAGTGGAGTAGAAGTGCACATTGCAAAACATTGAAATAGTCAAGTAAAGTACAACCCTCTCAAAATGTTTCTTAGTTAGCACAGTACTTGAGTAAATCTACATGACTACTTTACACCACTGAATGTTACAGATGTTAAAGCACATTTCAGCTTTTAAAGGGCATTGATGAGGTCATAGGCCTACGGAAATGATGGAATAGGCAGTCCTGTTTAATTGAACAGCGTCTGAGTTGATAAGTGTAACAGGATGCTCCATTGCTCTTTAAAAGGAAAGTCTGCTACAGTGAGAGTGTATCTGGTGACGTACTGTAGCAGTCTATGCATACCTTCTCTCTGTGGCATTATTCACTCCTCATACACATTAAACTGCCCTCACATACACGTCGCACAGCATCATCACAGCAGAGGATTGGAGAACACACACACACACACACACACACACACACACACACACACACACACACACACACACACACACACACACACACACACACACACACACACACACACACACACACACACACACACACACACACAATGGGAAGACGTCATGCACCGGTGTCCATAGTTTATCACTGTCTCCTCCTCTTCAGGAATTTTTCTAAAAAGGCTAATCCATGTGCTTTTGGGTCTCTGGTTAGGAGATGATTTTTCTTCCTCTTTTCCTTGAGGTGAGAATAATATGTGTTTCAGTGTTTTGTCAATGTGTTCTGCTTCTGTATTTGATGCCTACAGTACAGTTAATGGTCCTGCAGTCTTTCCAGTTCATGTTACCAAGTAAGAGTTATTGGTCCTCATGTATACATCCAACATGTAATCCATTAATAGAGATGTGTAAACTGCAGTAAACTTAAAAATAACCATAGCTGTAGGGGGCGTGCACTTCTGTCTATATATGTCCCTTTTCTTATTTAATATCATCACCTGGGGGCACCAACATTATACATTTTAAAATGCTACTCATTTACTTTTTTTTATTAGCAAAATAATGTTGGATTTGCATGTTAGACATGAGGATGTTGTTGTCGTCTCGCTAAATAAAGAAGGTTGTATAAATCATGACTTAACATGGGTCCGATTAAGTGTAGTGGGGCTAGTGTATGAAAGCCCTTTCCTGCCAGAAACAAAAAAAGAACCATGATATACAGTACATGATAGACAAAAATACAAGTCAGCTTTTCAACTAACTTATAATGTATCCGGTGTGAAAGTCAAAACATCAGGAAACTGTAATTTAAAATTATATAATTTTATTGATTATTATTTATTGACATCTTAAACATTCTCTCCAATGCAGCTTTGACAAAAACACTTGGCACTGAAACCCTTTATAATCCAAAAGAAACTAGAAGACTTGATTAAATCAGAAAGGTAAAAATCTTAATACAAATAGAAATGAATAGGTGTGTGTTACCTTGACCTTGTTGCTATTTCTCTCCGGCTTTTTAAATGTCTATTTTCTCTTTACCACCCGAGAAACAGGCCCAGTCTTAAAATATGTTAATGAAAGACTGTCCATTCTCAAATGCGTTACATCCACCTTAAAAGTAGCTCTGTATTGTGTACCCTGTGAAACTGACAATGGCTATGAGATGTGAATACAATCGGTAGCTTTCAAAAGTTCTACTTTGATGCCAGTATCATTACAGAAGCTGTGTTTGTGTAGGTACTATATTGCATTTGGGAATTAACTTTACATGTCTAATGGCGCATTTCCACTACACGGTCGGCCTCGGCCACACTCGGTACGGCTCGGTACGGCTTGGCCGCGTTGGGCCTTAACAGGGCCGACTCACTTCATGCTGCGCTTCCATTACAGTTTAGGAACTGGGGTAGTTACTATAGTAACGCAGTGTAGGCGGAGCCGTGACGTCATCTTCAATGAGAAATCCAGAAACACAACACAGCCGTTAGCTGTGAGCACTCAGAGCTCACAGCTCCTTATATATGTTCAGAAACTCGACAAAAGTTAAACAAGTACACACCACAGACTGCCTGTGTCATGGTGAATACAGTCGCTGCTGTATTTATGTCTGTATAGGCCGTTGTTGTGAGTGTGGACGGTCGGGGCATATACTGCGTTAGCTTAGCCAATCTCCATCTAGAAAAACACGAATTTTAAAAGGTTTTTCGCCTGCCGTCTGTCTGCAGACTTGACAAAGCATTAATTCATGGTTTTTACTAACCGGTATCAGTATGTTGTTACTTCGGCATCATTTTGAAACGTGTATTACAATTAAATCACGGTCAAATATGTCCATCTTGTTGTAGTTCTAGCCCTCTTGCCAGCGCTCCTCTCTCTAGTTTAGCATACTCAGCCCGACTCAGCCCTGTTTGTTGGCCCCGATAGAACCACAATTTTCTAGGGCCAGAAAAGAGGGGAAAAAGTGGCCCCGTGCCGTGCCGCGCCGGAACGAGGCCTAGTGGAAGCACAACCAAAAAAGGGGACGGCACGACACGGCACGCTTAAAGCGAGCTACGCGCTGCAATGGAAATGCGCCATAAATGTGTAGTCAACAAACATGTTTTTTAAAGATGGCAAAAGGCTTAACCTCAACTTTTATTTTGAACAATAATTGAAGTGTCATTGTAGCAGCTTGAAAGTAAAACATTTTTTGTTTTTGAGGACCTTTTTTTAAGTTTCAAGAGAAAAAGTTTTACAGTTTGAAATGTAGACCTTATCTCAGTGATTTTGTTAAAGCACCCAACAGCACCCTAATCCCCAAATTTCCTCTGAGCCTGCTATTGATGTTCTGAAACACAACATACAGTAGTTCACAGATGAGTTGCAAAACATCAGCATCAGTCAGGATGTGTATCTTGAAGCCAAGAGTCTACTCACAAAATATACAGCAGTGTGTTTTTTGGCAGTCTACAGTAAAAACATGAATATAAAATTGATTAGCAGCAGGGTGGCCTACAGTAAATGTATGAACCTTAAACCAGAAGTCACAGGTCTGATCCCCACAGCAAGAAAAGAGTCCAGAGTGTCCTGCTCACGCACCGTGACTGTCTCTGGGTAACAGCATCAGCTAAATGCGTCAAATATAAAACTATGGCAGCAAATGAGATTAGCCTATAATCTCAAAAAGCTCACACTTTTCCTTCAAGACAAAAAACAGGTTATTATTAGGTCAAACAATATAACTTCTTCTCCTGACCGGTGAATATGAAAATAATTACATTTCTAATCGAGGGAATACTGCTTCATAAAAGCAATGATATGGTTGTATTTACATGAATATTACTCTGGCCTGTACTGTTGCAGTTCAAATAATTGTCAAATCCATGATACTGATGAGAGTAAATGACTCATTCCAGCGCATTGTGAACAAACAACAATAAATAATCAAGCAGTGTGACATGTTTACATTCAGAGTGAAAACTTTAAAACCAAACGAAATCTGATAAATAATACAAACTAAACTAACAAAACTCGAACTACGGTTACAAAAATTACATTTAAAATGAGAAGAAAGGAAGCACATATTACTCTGTTGGTTTTATAATGACAATGATGCCGATTGATGAAATGCAACTGTTTTTTCATCACATTCATATCTCACCCATTAAAATAAAAAAGAAAGACCTTTACCTAATCGAGGTTTGCCACGTCGCAGGCTTAGCCTAGGCTACAAGAACACTGCAACCTCACCAAGAAACCCAACAAGATGGAAAGACATTTAAGATATGATTACAGCAGCCTCAGTATTTAAAGTCTGACACCTTGTGAGTTGTTGTCGTGGTGGCTGAAGATTCACCTGTTCGTGTCTCAGAGGAAACCATGTGACGGGTGACTCTGGTGGTCTTGGTCACCATGGTGACAGTTCCCTCCTCAGCGGAGGAGGCTTGGTGCTCCTCAGATATTTCCTGCTTGCTAAAGTCGAGCCCTGAGGTGTGAAGGCAGAAAGACCCCGAGACATCAGCCTCACCTGCCACCTCCCCCTTCCGCTGGGCCTGAGGAGAACCCTCTGGGGTTATCTGGAGGAAGCCTGGAGGGGAGGAGACAAGCAGGTGGGTAGAAGAAAGGAAGCAAGGATAGGAAAGGCTGAGAGGTTAGGAAATCATGACAGAAAAGAAACTTAGTTTTATGTAGCAGAGAAGTAGGGGATATAAATATTATATATTATATATAAAGAATATATTATTAATTTATATAATAAACACAAAAACACAACACATTCAAAATAGCAAGGATAAATTGCTGATGATGTATAATGTAGTGCCAATTGTAACAACATATGACAACATAGTGAAATAAGGAAAGAAACAGGTATTAAGTAATTTACTTATTTGATTTGTGAATTATTATTATTTTTGTACAATCAATGTCTCTGAAATAGGAGTGATGCAGTGGTTTTGTGTTGCATTTCAATGTTCAGAGAACTCGTGAAAGACTAAGAAACAAACGTCCAATAAATACTGCACAAGTTATACTGAAAGTCAGTCACATGATAAAACACCTACAGTAGGACTTGGATATCGTCAACCCTTTATAAAAGTCTATGTGTCATTTTTCAAATGTCTTGTGATCACCGTTTGAAGTTTTTGTATCCTTACCTGTGGAGTGTGGCTTCAGGTTGAACTTAGGGACCTTGAACCAGGTGGAAGACTCCCTTTCTTCAGGTTCCTTGCTTTGGCTCTCGACCTCGCTCCATGCCTGGACTTTTGCAGAGCTAAACTCCATGGTGAAACTAGCAGGGGACTCTGAGCTGTCCCTGTCCAGCATGTCTGTTCTGGCATGAGATGACACCACATCCTTTGGGAGCTCCGCACTAAAACCAGAGAAGGCCATCTTGTCTGATTTTACTTGAAGTTCTTTAGTGTATTCCTCCATGTGTACTGTTGGTAAATCCTTTCCCAGTTTCATATTCATGCCAGAGTCCTCCCCCTCTACAGACATCTTGCCATATGGAGATGTTAACTGTACCTTTGGAAGATTGATTTTGCCGCTGAATGTCCCTTTATCATCCTTGGAGCCTATGTGAGGATCTTTTGCACCATTGAAATTGGATCTTGAACCGTCGCCCTTAAGATTGACATCAAAGGACCCTGATTCGCTAGGAGAAAACGACACAGCAGCTGACTTTTCTTTGGACTTCCCAAAGTTTGGCTTCATTATGATTTTTGGCAACTTCACGTTAAAGCCTTCTGTTTTAGCCTGAGCTGTCGTCTCCTCTTTTGGGAGGTGTGAGCATGCAGTGGGCTCACCTGTTTGAGGAGGATTTACCAAGACAAATACAGCTTTCTTTACTTTAGGCATTTTAGGACCCTCATACTGTATTTCTGGCCCAGTGATATTCATTCTTCCCTCAGGAGAGGAGATGGAGGGTAATGGGACCCCAAACTTAGGGATTTTGACTTTCTTGTCTTTTTCTGTTCCGTCCTCATCTTCATCCTGTGTTGTACCTATGTCAAAATCTATGTCTGGAATCCTGGGCACTCTCATTTCTGCTCTGGATGATGAGAAGCCACCCTCTCCCGCTGTTCCAAAGTCAGCCGAGCCTTGTTTGTTTGTCAGACAAACACTTGGTAACGTACACTCTGGTACTGGGATGTTAACACGATCTTTGTTGTTTTTATGTCCATTATGTGTTTCAATTTCAACTTCGTACTTAAATGTTTCTTTTCTCTTGCATTTGTGTTTGATATGACCACCTAAATCCTCATCACCGCAGTTTTTGCATATTTTTGCTTCTGCTTTTACATCTCGACCAGTCTTCTTCTTTGGCATCCCAATGTGGAATTTTGTTCCTTTGACTTTAGGGCCCTTTACTTTGCTGCTGATTCCTGCTGTGCTGATATCTAAATCAGGTAGTTCCATCTTTTTCCTGTCCTTCTTGCCCTCTCCTCTATAAAGTCCTAAATCCAACTCCAGGTCGCCTTTTGGACATTTGATGTCTATTGTAGGTATCTTAAGTTTGAGGCCTTTGTGCTCCCCCTCAACATGCAAGTCAGCTTCCCCAAGAGCTTCTGTGTCTTGTTTAGGTCTACTCAGTGTTGCATCGAGGTCCAACTCCGGTGATGACACTTTTGGCACAATTTCCCCTCCTAATTCAACAGCTGGTAAATTGATCTCTGCTTCACAGGATGGATTCAATGTTTCAATACCTTTACTTTTACTTTTAGGAAGTAAAATATCAACTTTTGGCATCTTGATATGTGGCAGCTTGCTGGTTCTTCCCTCAGCCTCCAGTTTTCCTTTAGGGATAGATAGGTCCACATCATGCATCTTGACATTTCCTCCTTCACCTCCCTCTATTTCAACTTTAGGGCCTTCACATTTTTTTTTTGGCAGAGAAATGGCAAAATCTGGCATTTTCCAGCTAGGCATTTTGATCTTTCCCTCAGCACCTCCCTCTAGTTCGAAATCTGTACTTTCGATCTTTCCTTTGGGATGTGAAATACCAATAGAAGGCATGGTGAGATGTGGCATCTTGTATTTTCCACCATCACCTTTGATCTCCATCCCCGAAGCATCAACCCTTCCCTTGGGCAGAGAGATGTCAACATCTGGCATTTTCATCTGAGGCATTTTGAACTTTCCTCCTGTACCTCCATCCATTTCAACATCTGGACCCTCAATCTTTCCTTTGGGCAGAGAGATGTCCATGTTGGGCATTTTCATGTGAGGCATTTTGAATTTTCCTCCGGTGCCTCCTTCTATTTCAATATCCGGATCACCGATCTTTCCTTTAGGAAGTGAAACATCAACAGAGGGCATACTGAGATGTGGCATCTTGAATTTACCACCATCTCCCTTGATAGCCATCTCTGGACCCTCAACCCTTCCCTTGGGCAGAGAGATGTCAACATCTGGCATTTTCATCTGAGGCATTTTGAACATTCCTCCTGTACCTCCATCCATTTCAACATCTGGACCTTCAATCCTTCCTTTAGGAAGAGAGATGTCAACATCTGGTATTTTCACATCAGGCATTTTGAACTTTCCTCCTTTACTTCCCTCCATTTCAACATCTGGACCCTCAATCTTTCCTTTAGGCAGAGAGATGCCAATGTTGGGCATTTTCATGTGAGGCATTTTGAATCTTCCACCTTTACTTCCCTCCATTTCAACGTCTGGACCTTCAATCCTTCCCTTGGGCAGAGAGATGTCAACATCTGGCATTTTCATCTGAGGCATTTTGAACTTTCCTCCTGTACCTCCATCCATTTCAACATCTGGACCCTCGATCTTTCCTTTAGGCAGAGAGATGTCCATGTTGGGCATTTTCATGTGAGGCATTTTGAATTTTCCACCTGTACCTCCTTCCATTCCAATATCTGGACCTTCAATCCTTCCTTTAGGAAGAGAGATGTCAACATCTGGCATTTTCATGTGAGGCATTTTGAACTTTCCTCCTTGACTTCCCTCCATTCCAACATCTGGACCCTCAATCTTTCCTTTAGGCAGAGAGATGCCAATGTTGGGCATTTTCATGTGAGGCATTTTGAATCTTCCACCTGTACTTCCCTCCATTTCAACGTCTGGACCTTCAATCCTTCCCTTGGGCAGAGAGATGTCAACATCTGGCATTTTCATGTGAGGCATTTTGAACTTTCCTCCGGTTCCTCCTTCCATTTTAAAATCGGGACCTTCTATCTTTCCTTTGGGAAGTGAAATGTCAACTGAAGGCATGTTGAGATGAGGCATTTTAAACTTTCCATCCTCGCCTTCGATTTCCATCTCTGAACCCTCAATCCTTCCTTTGGGCAGGGAGATGTCGATGTTGGGCATTTGCATGTGAGGCATTTTGAATGCTCCTCCAGAACCTCCCTCCATTTCAATGTCTGGACCTTCAATCTTTCCTTTGGGCAGAGAGATGTCGATGATGGGCATTCTCATGTGCGGCATTTTGAATTTTCCTCCGGTTCCTCCTTCCATTCCAAAATCTGGACCTTCAATCTTTCCTTTAGGCAGAGAGATGTCAACATCTGGCATTTTCATGTGAGGCATTTTGAACTTTCCTCCTGTACCTCCATCCATTTCAACATCTGGACCCTCGATCTTTCCTTTAGGCAGAGAGATGTCGATGTTGGGCATTTTCATGTGAGGCATTTTGAATGTTCCACCTGTACCTCCTTCCATTCCAATATCTGGACCTTCAATCTTTCCTTTAGGAAGAGAGATGTCAACATCTGGTATTTTCACATCAGGCATTTTGAACTTTCCTCCTTTACTTCCCTCCATTCCAACATCTGGACCCTCAATCTTTCCTTTAGGCAGAGAGATGCCAATGTTGGGCATTTTCATGTGAGGCATTTTGAATCTTCCACCTGTACTTCCCTCCATTTCAACGCCTGGACCTTCAATCCTTCCCTTGGGCAGAGAGATGTCAACATCTGGCATTTTCATCTGAGGCATTTTGAACTTTCCTCCGTTTCCTCCTTCCATTTTAACATCTGGACCCTCGATCTTTCCTTTAGGCAGAGAGATGTCCATGTTGGGCATTTTCATGTGAGGCATTTTGAATTTTCCACCTGTACCTCCTTCCATTCCAATATCTGGACCTTCAATCTTTCCTTTAGGCAGAGAGATGTCAACATCTGGCATTTTCACATCAGGCATTTTGAACTTTCCTCCTTTACTTCCCTCCATTCCAACATCTGGACCCTCAATCTTTCCTTTAGGCAGAGAGATGCCAATGTTGGGCATTTTCATGTGAGGCATTTTGAATCTTCCACCTGTACTTCCCTCCATTTCAACGTCTGGACCTTCAATCCTTCCCTTGGGCAGAGAGATGTCAACATCTGGCATTTTCATGTGAGGCATTTTGAACTTTCCTCCGGTTCCTCCTTCCATTTTAAAATCGGGACCTTCTATCTTTCCTTTGGGAAGTGAAATGTCAACTGAAGGCATGTTGAGATGAGGCATTTTAAACTCTCCATCCTCGCCTTTGATTTCCATCTCTGAACCCTCAATCCTTCCTTTGGGCAGGGAGATGTCAATGTTGGGCATTTGCATGTGAGGCATTTTGAATGCTCCTCCAGAACCTCCCTCCATTTCAATGTCTGGACCTTCAATCTTTCCTTTGGGCAGAGAGATGTCGATGATGGGCATTCTCATGTGCGGCATTTTGAATTTTCCTCCGGTTCCTCCTTCCATTCCAAAATCTGGACCTTCAATCTTTCCTTTAGGCAGAGAGATGTCAACATCTGGCATTTTCATGTGAGGCATTTTGAACTTTCCTCCTGTACCTCCATCCATTTCAACATCTGGACTCTCGATCTTTCCTTTAGGCAGAGAGATGTCGATGTTGGGCATTTTCATGTGAGGCATTTTGAATTTTCCACCTGTACCTCCTTCCATTCCAATATCTGGACCTTCAATCTTTCCCTTGGGCAGAGAGATGTCAACATCTGGCATTTTCATGTGAGGCATTTTGAACTTTCCTCCTTGACTTCCCTCCATTCCAACATCTGGACCCTCAATCTTTCCCTTGGGCAGAGAGATGCCAATGTTGGGCATTTTCATGTGAGGCATTTTGAATCTTCCACCTGTACTTCCCTCCATTTCAACGTCTGGACCTTCAATCCTTCCCTTGGGCAGAGAGATGTCAACATCTGGCATTTTCATGTGAGGCATTTTGAACTTTCCTCCGGTTCCTCCTTCCATTTTAAAATCGGGACCTTCTATCTTTCCTTTGGGAAGTGAAATGTCAACTGAAGGCATGTTGAGATGAGGCATTTTAAACTTTCCATCCTCGCCTTCGATTTCCATCTCTGAACCCTCAATCCTTCCTTTGGGCAGGGAGATGTCGATGTTGGGCATTTGCATGTGAGGCATTTTGAATGCTCCTCCAGAACCTCCCTCCATTTCAATGTCTGGACCTTCAATCTTTCCTTTGGGCAGAGAGATGTCGATGATGGGCATTCTCATGTGCGGCATTTTGAATTTTCCTCCGGTTCCTCCTTCCATTCCAAAATCTGGACCTTCAATCTTTCCTTTAGGCAGAGAGATGTCAACATCTGGCATTTTCATGTGAGGCATTTTGAACTTTCCTCCTGTACCTCCATCCATTTCAACATCTGGACCCTCAATCTTTCCTTTAGGCAGAGAGATGTCGATGTTGGGCATTTTCATGTGAGGCATTTTGAATTTTCCACCTGTACCTCCTTCCATTCCAATATCTGGACCTTCAATCTTTCCCTTGGGCAGAGAGATGTCAACATCTGGCATTTTCATGTGAGGCATTTTGAACTTTCCTCCTTGACTTCCCTCCATTCCAACATCTGGACCCTCAATCTTTCCCTTGGGCAGAGAGATGTCAACATCTGGTATTTTCACATCAGGCATTTTGAACTTTCCTCCTTGACTTCCCTCCATTCCAACATCTGGACCCTCAATCTTTCCTTTAGGCAGAGAGATGCCAATGTTGGGCATTTTCATGTGAGGCATTTTGAATCTTCCACCTGTACTTCCCTCCATTTCAACGTCTGGACCTTCAATCCTTCCCTTGGGCAGAGAGATGTCAACATCTGGCATTTTCATGTGAGGCATTTTGAACTTTCCTCCGGTTCCTCCCTTCCATTTTAAAATCGGGACCTTCTATCTTTCCTTTGGGAAGTGAAATGTCAACTGAAGGCATGTTGAGATGAGGCATTTTAAACTTTCCATCCTCGCCTTCGATTTCCATCTCTGAACCCTCAATCCTTCCTTTGGGCAGGGAGATGTCGATGTTGGGCATTTGCATGTGAGGCATTTTGAATGCTCCTCCAGAACCTCCCTCCATTTCTATGTCTGGACCTTCAATCTTTCCTTTGGGCAGAGAGATGTCGATGATGGGCATTCTCATGTGCGGCATTTTGAACTTTCCTCCTTTAGTTCCCTCCATTTCAACGCCTGGACCTTCGATATCCTCTTTGGGCAGAGAGATGTCAATGTTGGGCATTTTCAAGTGCGGCATTTTAAATTTGCCTCCGGTGCCTCCGGTGCCTCCTTCTATTTCAATATCTGGATCACCGATCTTTCCTTTAGGAAGTGAAACATCAACAGAGGGCATACTGAGATGTGGCATCTTGAATTTACCACCATCTCCCTTGATAGCCATCTCTGGACCCTCAACCCTTCCCTTGGGCAGAGAGATGTCAACATCTGGCATTTTCATCTGAGGCATTTTGAACTTTCCTCCTGTACCTCCATCCATTTCAACATCTGGACCTTCAATCCTTCCTTTAGGAAGAGAGATGTCAACATCTGGCATTTTCATCTGAGGCATTTTGAACTTTCCTCCTTGACTTCCTTCCATTTCAACATCTGGACCCTCAATCTTTCCTTTAGGCAGAGAGATGTCGATGTTAGGCATTTTCATGTGAGGCATTTTGAATCTTCCACCTGTACCTCCTTCCATTTTAAAATCGGGACCTTCAATCTTTCCCTTGGGCAGAGAGATGTCAACATCTGGCATTTTTAGGTCCCCAGTTTTCCCTCTAGGAAGGGACAGATCAATGTCAGGCATCTTGATTCCAGGCAACTTGAATTTGCCTCCTTTTCCCTCAGTCTTTGCATCATGCTCTACTCTAGGCAGGGACACATCCAGGTCTACTTTGGGGATGGAAATGTCAATTGTTGGCATTTCTGGAATGTTGAGGCTTACCTCATAACCTCTGATATCAGCCTCTGAGACATCCACCTCTGCTTTAGGTAACAGAACCTCAGTCTCTGGTGTATTAGCTGCTGGTAGTGACAACTCAACAGAGGGCATCTTAACCTTGGCTTTAGACTCAAAGTTACCGCTTTGCTTACCTAAATCCTTCTCTTTAGAGCCAAATCCTGGCATTGAGAACTTTGGTAGTTTGAGAGTGACATCAGGGGCATGGAACCCACCTTTCCCTTCAACATCTGCCCCCAGCTCAGCATTAACCCCTCCCTCTGGGAGCTGACTTTTTGGTGATATTTTAAACTTGGGGAATTTTCCCTTTTTAACTTTAACATCCACATCAGGACAAGACACGGATACATCTGCATGCTTTTTGGATACACCAAATGAAGGCATTTTAATTTTCGTTTTTTTCACCTTGACTTTTCTGTCCCCATCAAACTCTACTGATGGTGCCCTTATCTCTCCTTCCACATGCGGTGAGCTGAGGGAAATGTCTCCTTTGGGGACAGACATTGCAAAATCACCACTCTTAGACTTTCCACCAAACCTTGGTAGAGAGAAACTTGGGAATTTGAGGGAAACATCAGGCAGATCAAAGCTGCCCCCTGAAGAAGGCCTGCCTCCCTCGGCTTTAAGGACACCGCTGATAGTAGGAGGTTTGAGGGATGCACCTGGAGCTTCTACACCACCTGTTGCAATGTCTGCACACTTTACTTTTACCTTGGCTGGATTGATTTCTCCTATGAGACCAGACATCTTTAAATCTCCTGATGCTTCGGGCCCAGAGGTGTCCAATTTGAGGCTTTTGTCTTTATGACCAGAGGGAAGGCTAAGGTCAAGATCACATTTGGGGAGATTTATGTCAAGAGTTGGCATATGGAGCCCAACACCAGATAAGTCCACCTTTGGCAATTCATACTTTCCCTTTCCAGACGGTCCTTCAAAGCTGATATCTCCCTCTAATTTTCCAACAGGAACTGAAATATCAACATCTGGTGTTGAGATCTCTCCTCCCTTAATCTTCGGTCCTTCAACTTTGACATTGCCTTCTGGCAGGTTCATCTTTGGAAGTGACATGTCAAATTTAGGCGTTTTGAATATTCCTCCTTTTACCTCAGGACCCTCAATACTGATGCCAGCCTTTCCTTTGGGAACTGACAGGTCAATGTCTGGCATGTTGATATTTCCTTCCTTAAATTCAGGGCCTTCAATATGAATCTCTGGCCCCTTAGCTTTCATTTTCGGAAGAGAGAAATCAACAGAGGGCATATGGAACTTGCCTCCTTTTCCAGCATGTCCTTCAATTTCCATTTCACCTCTTGCTTTTACTTTGGGCAGTGAAATATCAATGTTGGGCATCTCAATCCTCCCTCCCTTGATTTCCGGGCCTTTGAGTTTGACATCACCCTCTGGCAGATTTGCTTTTGGTAAAGACATATCAAATTTGGGCATTTTAAATGTACCTCCCAAAACCTTTGATCCCTCGACATTAAGGTTTGCTTTGGGTATTGAAATGTCAACAGTTGGTGTTTCAATTTTTCCTTTCATATTTGGTCCTTCGACATTGGCGTTGACCTTTGGGAGACTCGCTTTTGGCAGAGAAACATCACATTTTGGCATTTTGAATTTCCCTCCTTTCAACTGAGGGCCTTCAACATTTATCTCTCCCTCAACCTTTCCTCTGGGAGGTGAAATGTCAACAGTTGGGATGTTGACCTTTTCTCCTTCAACATCAGGACCCTCAAGGCTGATGTCTACATTGGGAGATTTTATTTTGGGTAGAGAAACATCAAGTGAAGGCATGTTTAGCTTTCCACCTTTAACTTCAGGGCCTTCAATATTTAACTCTGGTCCCCTAGCTTTCATTTTAGGAAGAGAGATATCAAAAGAGGGCATATGGAACGTGCCTCCTTTACCCACATGTCCCTCTATGTCAACATCTCCCTTTACCTTTCCTTTTGGGAGTGAGATATCAACCTTTGGCATTTCCAGATTGCCCTCTGGCAGGTTCATCTTTGGAAGTGAAACGTCAAATTTGGGCATTTTGAATTTTCCTCCTTTTCCATCAGGACCCTCAATATTGAGATCAACGTCAGTCTTTCCCTTTGGGATCGACAGGTCAATGTCTGGCATGTCGATCCTTCCTCCTGTAAGTTCAGGACCTTCTATGTTGACCTCTGGCCCCTTAGCTTTCATTTTAGGAAGAGAGATATCAAAAGAGGGCATATGGAACTTGCCTCCCTTTCCAGCATGTCCTGACATTTCTCCTCCTGCTTTTACTTTGGGAAGTGAAATATCAATGTCTGGCATCGCAATCTTCTCTCCTTTGATATCTGGGCCTTTAAGTTTGACATCACCCTCTGGGAAATTCATTTTTGGGAAAGACATATCAAATGTTGGCATTTTAAATCTACTCCCTTTTACCTCAGGACCCTCAACTTCAAGGTCACCCTCAAGGTTTCCTTTAGGGAGTGAAATGTCAACAGTTGGCAAGTTAAACGTTGATCCTTTAACATCAGGACCTTCAAGGCTGATATCTACCTCTGGAGACTTCATTTTAGGGAGGGACATGTCACCTTTGATTTCAGGTCCTTTGATATTAAGATCAGGTCCCTTTGCTTTGATTTTAGGAAGAGAGATATTGAGTGAGGGCATGTGAAACTGGCCTCCTTTACCACCATGCCCATCAATGTCTATATCCACTTCTGCTTTTCCTTTTGGAAGTGAAAGGTCAACAGTTGGCATATACATTTTTCCTTTCAAATCGGTTCCTTCTGCATTGGCATCAACATTTGGTAGACTAACTTTTGGCAGAGAAACATCACATTTTGGCATTTTGAATTTCCCTCCTTTCAACTGAGGGCCTTCAACATTTATCTCTCCCTCAACCTTTCCTCTGGGAGGTGAAATGTCAACAGTTGGGATGTTGACCTTTTCTCCTTCAACATCAGGACCCTCAAGGCTGATGTCTACATTGGGAGATTTTATTTTGGGTAGAGAAACATCAAGTGAAGGCATGTTTAGCTTTCCACCTTTAACTTCAGGGCCTTCAATATTTAACTCTGGTCCCCTAGCTTTCATTTTAGGAAGAGAGATATCAACAGAGGGCATATGGAACTTGCCTCCTTTTGCACCATGTCCTTCGATTTCAATGTGTCCTCCTGCCTTTCCTTTAGGCAGTGAAATATCAATGTCTGGCATCTCGATCTTCCCTCCCTTCATGTCTGGACCTTTAAGCTTGACATCACCCTTTGGGAGACTAACTGTTGGCATTGAGACATCAAATGTTGGCATTTTAAATGTACCACCCTTCACCTCAGGACCCTCCACATCGATGTCTCCCTCAACTCTTCCCTTGGGGAGTGAAACGTCACCTTTAAAGTCAGGTCCTTCAATATCAACATCAACTCCCTTAGCTTTCATTTTAGGAAGAGAGATATCAAAAGAGGGCATATGGAACGTGCCTCCTTTACCCACATGTCCCTCTATGTCAACATCTCCCTTTACCTTTCCTTTTGGGAGTGAGATATCAACCTTTGGCATTTCCAGATTGCCCTCTGGCAGGTTCATCTTTGGAAGTGAAACGTCAAATCTGGGCATTTTGAATTTTCCTCCTTTTCCATCAGGACCCTCAATATTGAGATCAACGTCAGTCTTTCCCTTTGGGATCGACAGGTCAATGTCTGGAATGTCGATCCTTCCTCCTGTAAGTTCAGGACCTTCTATGTTGACCTCTGGCCCCTTAGCTTTCATTTTAGGAAGAGAGATATCAAAAGAGGGCATATGGAACTTGCCTCCCTTTCCAGCATGTCCTGACATTTCTCCTCCTGCTTTTACTTTGGGAAGTGAAATATCAATGTCTGGCATCGCAATCTTCTCTCCTTTGATATCTGGGCCTTTAAGTTTGACATCACCCTCTGGGAAATTCATTTTTGGGAAAGACATATCAAATGTTGGCATTTTAAATCTACTCCCTTTTACCTCAGGACCCTCAACTTCAAGGTCACCCTCAAGGTTTCCTTTAGGGAGTGAAATGTCAACAGTTGGCAAGTTAAACTTTCCTCCTCTAACATCAGGACCTTCAAGGCTGATATCTACCTCTGGAGACTTCATTTTAGGGAGGGACATGTCACCTTTGATTTCAGGTCCGTGCATATCTATATCTCCCGCTATTTTTCCTTTTGGGAGTGAAATATCAACCGTGGGACTTTCCACATTGCCCTCTGGCAGCTTCATCTTCAGAAGTGAAACATCAAATGTAGGTGTTTTGAGTGTTCCTCCTTTTACCTCAGGACCCTCAATACTGAGGTCAGCCTTGCCTTTGGGGAGAGACAAGTCAATGTCTGGCATGTTGATTTTTCCTCCCTTAAGCTTAGGGCCTTTGACTTTTCCTTTAGGTAGTCCAATATTATAGGATGGTTTTTCAAAATTCCCATCTTTTCCAGAGTGAACATCAATGTCAATATCTCCCTTTGCTTTTCTTTTGGGAAACGAGAAGTTGATTTTTGGCATTTGAAATGTCCTACCCTTGACTTTTGGCCCTTGTAAATTCACATCTCTTTCAGGGATTTTTACTGCAGGAAGAGCGATGTCTGCAGATGGCAAGCTGAATTCAGCACCTCTTCCTTCACCCTCAGCAGTGCACTTGCCTTGTAATGTTCCTGGTGGGGTTGAAATCTCAATAGTTGGCATCTTCATTTCCCCAGCCTTGATGTCTGATGCCTTGATTTTGATGTCACCTTTCTTTGATTTAATTGTAGGGAGAGAAACCTCAACGTTCCCCTTTGGAAGAGAGATATCAACGGAGTGTCCCTCAAGTCCAATATTTCCCTCAGGCATCTTAATCTTTGGTAGTGACACATCTAAAGAAGGCGTGTTGAACGTTGCTCCTCCTTTAATATCAGGTCCTTGAATATGAACCTCTCCTTCCTTGTTTTTCATCTTTGGGAGTGTTTTGTCAAAAGTTGGCAGCTTGAACTTGGCTCCACTACCAACACTGCTCTCTAACTCCATGTTGCCCCCCAAGTTTGCCGTGGGGAGGGAATAGTCAACATTTGGAAGTTTGGGGCATTCTAGGTTTAAGTCTCCTTCAGGTACCTCCACTTTTGGGAGAGAGATGTCTACAGAGGGCATATTGAATTTACCACCTTCGAATTCACTCATCCCAATGTTCAAATGCTCCTCTACGTTTCCCTTGGGAACAGAGATATCAACAGTGGGCATTTTGATCTTCCCACCTTTTATTTCAGGGCCTTCGATGTCCACCTCACCTGTCTTCATTTTAGGGATGGAGATGTCAAACGTTGGTAACTGAAATGTTCCTCCTCCTCCAACATCAGTTGTTCCAGTTTTGCCTTCAGGAAGTATCAGGTCTACCTTGGGTAACTTAAAGCCTTCTCCTTTAAAATGTACTTCTCCTTCTGGTGACTTAATCTTTGGAAGAGATATGTCAAACTCAGGCATTTTGAACTTCCCATCTCCACCAACAAAGTAGTGCATATCTGCATCGTCCCCCTCTGCTTCCACCTTTGGGAGAGCGATGTCAACAGAAGGTAGACCGAATTTTCCTCCACTTTCTGGACTTTCAATGTTCACATTTGATGGACCCATCTTTGGTAATGAGATGTCAACCTTTGGCCTGGAGATTTTGGGCCCTGTGAAAGTGCCCTCTACCTCATCAGGAATTCTGCATCCAGTGTCAAATTCCAAATCTACTTCAGGCACAGAGATGTCCATGGCAGGCATTTTGATTGCTGTCTTCCCAGCTCCTTCGTACTTTGGGAGCGAAATCTCCATGTCAGACTTTCCCTTCACGTGTGGTAAAGAAATATCAAGAGAAGGCATTTCAACAGATGCAGCGTTTCCCGAGAGATCAACTTCCATCTTTGATTTGGAAATATTTGCCTCAGGGAGATTGATCTTACCACCTCCTTTGAGTTCTACTTTTGGAGGTGTAATGTCAGTTTGAGGCACATTCATACCTTTGGCTTTCACCTTAATCTCACCATCTATCTCATCCGAATGACGTGAGAGTCTAACTTTTGGCAGTTTCAACTTTGGCATTCTTAGCTTTGCATCTCCTTTGCCTGAGTCTACATTCATTTGACCACTTGTAGCCTCTGCATCAGAGCCTCCTTTGATGTTGATCTTAGGAGCTTTGATTTTAGCCTCTCCCTTCACAGCGGGCAAAGACGCCTCAGCTTTTCCGGAAGGTAGTGCAAACTCCACATCAGGCGCATTAAGCTTAACTCCTCCCATCTCCATGTCTATGTTTTTATCTCCAGACAAACTAAACTCCACTGACGGTGGCTGGATGTTCACACCAGGGGGCTTCAGCTCCACAGATCCAGTCTCCAATGCTGAGCCTGACTTTGTGTGTTTGCTCTTAGGGAAGTTGATTCCAAACTTGTGTCCTTTTACTTTGGTTTTCACTTTAGCTCCAGGTATCTCAGGTGGAGAGATGTTCACCTCTCCCTCGAGATGTTCTGTTTCCACTTTACCTCCTGTGATGTCCCCAGTGAGAACCTTTGTTTTCATGTGGGGAAACCTAGGAGAAAGGAAGGAGAGAAGAAGAAAAAACATTGTGACATAGCAAAAAAATGTAGCAAACATTCCAAAAATGTTTTGTAAAGAATACTGTACTGTATAAAATAAGAATAGTTTTCCGATAATAATTTGATGATGTTTTTAAAAAAAAAACATTTATAGAATTGTGGTACTTTTGTAACTATTCTTTAGCCTCTTAATGTTTCTAAACACCTACACAAGTTGGATCAGAGGGTCATTTTGAGAATTTCAATATGAAAAGGACACAAACAAGGCCAACCTGATCCTCCTCTTGGCCTTCCCCACAGCTGCTGCTCCCTCGGCTCCTTCTGCTTCAGCCTTAGTGCTCTTCCTCGGTTTGAACTTTGGGAGAGAAAACTCCACGTCTACGTCACTCATCTCCACCTTGGTAGGCTGTCCCTCGATCACCAGCTCCTCTCTGCGCTTCTCCTTCAGCCTCTTCAGACCAAAACGTCCACCCCTCATCTTCTTGGCCTTGAACTGCTTGCTGCCCTTCACACTCTGATAAATCATAAAAGGCAAGAGGTTTCAGCCTAAGGCTTTCACATTGAGTATGGTACTAACTGTTAAGGCACTAGCTTTATGTAGGTTGATCGATTGACAACTGAAATAGTTTGGAAAATATGTTTTTTTTCTAATTTGGGACTAGAAGATTGGACGAAATGTTTATACTATATAAAAATGATACTCTATCTAAAATGACTCAATTGAGTTTAGAATGATAAATCACACATACAGACTAATAATTAGGGCTGTCAACATTAACTCTCGTATTCAATCTGGAAACCTTGATGTGTTCATTCTTTTTGTGCAAATTAATCATATTACCAAGTTAACCCCCAAATGTCCTCCCGCAAGGATGTTTACCATGGATTACTTAGCAGAGATATGTATGTATATATAATAATATAATTAAATACCATTTTGGCCACCTTGGCTTTGGGACCTTTGACCTCCACACTGGGAACATGAGGCCGTACGCAGATCTCTAATCCAGGGATGATCCTCTTCAGCTGGAAGCTGACCTTATATGGCTCGGCGCACTGAAGGATCTTCAGAGCGTCTTCATACTTCACGTTATCAAAGTAGACCTTGGCACTCAGCAGCTGGTCCCCTTAACACAGAGAACATTTGAATTATTATGTCCAGTGTTCAAAATGTCCGTAGGGAAGTGGCAATGGTAGTAGCTAACCATTTGACCATTTCATTTTAACTACAGAATGTTCACTGTAGGTGCTCATAAAGATTACAGGTACCTTCCTGGAGACTGAGATGTTTAGCAGCTGGTGAGTCTCTGAGGACATCTTTCACAAAGATCCCTCGCTGTCCTCCACCAGTCACACTGTAGCCGCTGGCTCCAGCCTCCGCCTCCGTCTCCACCACGATCTCCATGGATGGAGAGGCTTCTTCCACACACTAACACACACACACACACACACACACACACACACACACACACACACACACACACACACACACACACACACACACACACACACACACACACACACACACGCGCGCACACACCCACACCACACACACACACACACACACACACACACACACACACACACACACACACACACACACACACACACACACAGAACTTAGACTGCAGTAAAACTGTATATTCACACTTGATTTGACATGTTACAGCAAAGTGGCATTGACCAGGAGAACTGGTCAGGGGAACTGGTCAGGGGAACTGGTCAGTTGTTTGACAGTTGTTGAAGACATGTTTGTATTTAATTGATTGGTTTTATTAACCAAGGACTAAATAGATATGATACTTGGATCATAAAGTGGGAGTGGCTTAGACAATAATACATTACTAGATTTACTAGTATCTAAACGATAAATGATGAATTAAAGATATTACTCTGTGGATGCTGGACTCCATAATGTTATCAATATATCATCAGACACCGAATGTACATCTGTCAGTATTTTTCTTAATTCTTTGCAGAGTAGCAATGTTTTAAAAGCACAATGGCTTGAACTCTGTGATCTTATTTCACTTTAACATTACATTACACTAAGTGTGAGACGCTCTTATCCAAAGCATACACTTCAACACCCTACAGCTACGGGATTTGATATACCTTGCCTAAAGACACTTTGACATGTTGACTGCAGGGGGTGGGGATCGAACAAATGACTCTCCGATTCGTAGAGGCCTATTATCCCCTGAGCCACTGCTGCCCCACTTGCTTGAGTGGGTGCAGAATTTGTTGTACAGTTACATGTCACTTCACACTTTGCTCCTGAATCCATTTAATGCATTAAGCTGCCACAGAGAAAAGGTCACTCTATTCTTGGATCCCATTCTCTTTTCCAGTGAGTGACCCAAGGAAATAGCTTAACTCAAACAAAGGAAAAAGTGGACTTTATTAACCATTGGAGTAACCTTATGTGCACGTGTTCCCTCTCCTTTAATAACATTAGCAATGACAGATAAAAAACTATGCTCTCCAGTTTCCCTCACTGATACAAACAACATGTTTTAGCTCTCAGAGTTGAACAAGCTGCTGCTTACTGTCTGCTGGTCTGTGGGCTCTGAGTCCATCTCTGGTTGGGCCGGTTGGCAGGTGGACTCTCTCAGGTGACTTCTCTTTTGACTCAACACCTGCTTCAGCTCTGCATGTAGCTTCTCCTTCTGCACCTGCAGTACAGAGGGAGTATGTTACAGTATGTCTTGAGGCCAGAAGATCAACACAGAATCAACCACGCTTTCGTTAAAAGTATTATTTTAGGGTATATTGCTTTGATTTCATTCTATAATTATGCTCTCATTTCTTTACTATGTGCACTTCTGTTCAATCTAAGAGGATGACTATACAAAACAAAATGCTGCAGAAGGAGAATGCAGTAATAAAACATATTATTTGTAACTTTTTATTTTATTTCAACAGTTTATTATTTAACCATTATTAGTTCATCATCACCCTCCTTTTCGATGCAATATCTTATATACTCATATTTGACTCATACTAATTCAAAACTAAAATTAAAGTCAATTTACAGCAATTTGCAGTTAGTTAATGTTACATTTAATTATAATTAAATATGCTTGTATGATCACGTCAGGCTTTTATACATTCAGGCAACCATTTATAAATAGTATACACTAGATGGTGATGGTGTGATGTAAACAGGAACTGTGTACAGTTGAATGTATTGTTACAGATGTTTTACTGTTTAACATGGCTGTTAGCTACACGGACATTTCAGTTGGAAACCAGCTTTATTCTATATAACTCGTTAATCTTCCACTTTACATCCGTGAATGTGGGTCTGGGTGTTTACACTGACACCTGCAGCTGGTTTCAGCTCTGTCACATTCACATGTTTTTTGTTGTTGACTTTGCAAATGGCAATCTCCTGCTGTGGCATGAAAAGGCTGCGACAGGCTTGCTAAGCTGGCAGAAATGAAAGGTTGTTTATGTGCCGGACAGTGACCTCAACAGATCGGCCTGGACTATTGTGATCTGGTTTGTATGGGCCTGGTGTCTGCTGGGGTCGCCATGTCAGCCACAAAGCTGCATTCCCCCTGTCCGAAAAACAATGTAGCCTTTCTGTACCATAGCGGAATCTGAATGACGCCGGACATCAAAGTCAAAGAATATTGTGTGTGTGTGTCTCACCTGTCTCTCAGGTGTGTGGTCATTGCTTCGTTAAACTCTACGGAGCATTTAAACTCAAGAACATGATTGGACGCTGGTATATCCGTGCAAACGACCTGAAGCACAACCACACCGACCTCACCTGGCAGAGCCTGGAGCAGACCTGCAGGTACACCTGAGAGTGTGTGTGTGTGTGTGTGTGTGTGTGTGTGTGTGTGTGTGTGTGTGTGTGTGTGTGTGTGTGTGTGTGTGTGTGTGTGTGTGTGTGTGTGTGTGTGTGTGTGTGTGTGTGTGTAGCACTGCACTTCCTGAGGTCAGTGTCTCAAGTCCATAGAAAAGAATCAGGAGCATCCCGATCCATGGAAGGTAAACTGAACTCTTCTGTGATAAAAGAACTGTGAAAAGATCACTGTTCTCCAAATGCATGCATTTTCACAAACTATTTAATACACCTTTGCATAAAGAGTTCTCGTCAGGAAAGTAGCTGCACCATTATGAATCTGTTTATACAGTTACATTTGAGCTAAAAAAGTATGTGTTTGTGAAACCATTTACTTCAACGAATCATGACTTTTCTTCATTTACTGTACGAATACACACTAGCGCCGCCTGCTGGTAAGGAGAGTTATTGCCACTCACGCATGCGCAGTTCGTACGTGCTACTTGGCCGTCGGCTGAAGTCTTTGCGGTGTGTTCCAGTGCGACACATGGCCAAGACGCAGAGACGTGAGGCAACACAACAGTCGGGGTCTGTCTGTGTCAGTTCTTTGTTGTCACATTGGTGTGTCCGGGCCTTTAGCCTTCACAAACAATGTGTTGGAGCGCTAACCAATAGGAGTGTGAGTTTTCCATAGTGATGTCACTTTATAGCGGAAGTAAACAAAGGACTACAAATGGAAGTGTTGCAGTCAGGGGGGGGGGGGGGGGGGAGTGGGAGAGAAACTCCCTCTGGAGGGAACACAGGGATTGTAGCCTTTGCAGACCATTTGCATGCCCAAAAACCTATAGAACACACTACAGAAGAGGGAATCGGGCCCCAAACCCCAAAAAGCAGAATAGGGCCCCTATTTTAGCATCATGGTATTTGGTGTTTGCATCACCAACGTATTTCTGTACATCTAAAGGGACATTAGATTAGGTCATTTGTTAGACGCTTTTATCCAAAGCAACTTACATACACTCAATCCTGTAGGTGTAGGCAGTCCCCACAGGAGCAATTTTGGGTGAGGGGTCTTGCCCTGGGACAGGACTACATGCTGACAGCAGTGGGGATGCCCTGATCCAAAGATCAACGCACTAATCCACTGAGCCACAGCCTCCTGTGACACACACACATACACACACCAGGTCCGTCTGCAGGAATGTGTGTGTGTCACAGGAGTGACGTGTGTGGGTGTGTGTGTGTGTGTGTGTGTGTGTGTGTGTGTGTGTGTGTGTGTGTGTGTGTGTGTGTGTGTGTGTGTGTGTGTGTGTGTGTGTGTGTGTGTGTGTGTGTCTCACCACTCTCTCTGGGCTCTCCTGTTCCTCTGTGCTGTGGTGAGGGTTGCGTTGTTGGGAGGAGGGGGATCTGTTGGAGGGGGGCGACCGCCTCTTGTCTCTTACCTGCCCGCACAGGAAGAAGATCGTTTGAAATGTTCATGCATCAGCAGTTTTCAGAGTGCTTTTACCCTTTAACTCAACTAACTACATTATCTCCAGTGCCTCCATAGCAGCGTGGCACTGCAGCCTCTGGGAGACTGCTGTGGGAAAATGTAAATCACTCAGGGACCGCAGATATTAATTTATTTCAACAACCACTGACATTCTCAGCTCCAGTGAAGCTACTCAAATAAAGAAAACTGTTTATACTGAGAAGCTCCAGGCTGCCAGGTTTGAATGTGTCACAGTGTGTCTGTCTGTGTGTGTGTGTGTGTGTGTGTGTGTGTGTGTGTGTGTGTGTGTGTGTGTGTGTGTGTGTGTGTGTGTGTGTGTGTGTGTGTGTGTGTGTGTGTGTGTGTGTGTGTGGTGTGTGTGTGTGTGTGTGTGTGTGTGTGTGAGGCTCAGGCAGCTTTAAAAAGGTAATACAAACTTTGTTGTACTCCGAACTACTCTTTAAACTGACCATGCCTTTTCACTCCTAATCCACTTGAGGATGTATGAAGCTTCACTCAGAGAACATGTATATTTTGTTACTTTTCATCATCATTCTCTGCAGATGATTGATGGTCAGATATTTTATAACTGAATGTTTCTTTTGGAAAAGCAAGGAAATCTGGTCATTTCTCTCCTGAATCTGTTTATTGAATCTATTCTGACTATACATCAGTGGTGGCAGGTAATGAAGAACATGTACTTCTTCTGTCAAAACTGCTATAGATTTTCTGGATATGTTACTGTGTATTATTATCATGTGTTTTTAATGTGTGTCTTTAATTCCCCTAATTGCTACATCTGCTGTCTCTCTGCTGGATTTCTTTGTTATTGTGGGCTGAATCAAACTGAGCTATTTTTTGTTTGTTTTTAACCTCGTACCTCCTGGGGGAAACATGACATGTCCCAGTCTTCCATATCTGCTTCCTCTACTTGTTTCATAAACTCTTGCATGGTCAATCTTGTAAAAACATCCTGTCTCAGCCTTTCACCTGTTCTCAGGCTTCACCGCTGACACTTACCGACTACACATTTCCAAACAGATGTAAACTAATTATACAATACTAATTATTTATTTTATTCTATGCTTTTTTCAAAACCTACTCATTGATTTTCAGTTTGGAAACCAAATATCTTCTATTTTACCCCTTTATGACACACAGTGGTCGTATTATTTACTGTTGGAAGCTCAAAAAAACACACTCACTGTAACAATAAATGAAGACACAGCCCAGACTAAGCACCCTGTAAACAGTCAAAGATAACTGTCTTACTAAAGTATAATCCATTTAATAATGCAGTTATTTTAACCCTCCTGTTGTCTTCGGGTCAAATCTGACCGATTTACTACTTTCATCAATCATAACTTTTTTGTTTCACATTCGATTGCATTAAGGCTTTATGATATCCTTCACAGTAGACATTTGAACATATACAATTGCTGATCACCACTTTCATTGCATTTTGGATGATTTAGTCAACTTTGTAACACCCATGGTGTTCCCGGTCAAAAATGACCGCCATAAAGAAAAGGAATTTGTAACCATCCGGATCAGATAAAACACACACACACACACTCACACACTCACACACTCACACACTCACACACACACACACACACACACACACACACACACACACACACACACACACACACACACACACACACACACACACACACACACACACACACACACACACACACACACACACACTCTAGATGTGTCCCCCCCCCTTATGTGGCCAATCTCCCCATGTGAATCACACCTGGCACTCACAAACACACCCAGAACAATTTGACACATTTCCCGCTCTTATGTGCCCATCCCCCCACATGGATCACACCTGGCACACGCAATACATGTTCAGTGTCTATTCTTTGTATATTTACTGCAGTTTTTGATGTATACCAGTAGTCTGATACAATATTTACAGTTTGAAAGGGTGTTAAATGACATTTGGTGATGATGAATGGTTTTTGTGTTAATGTAATAGCAGTTAAAACAGGACCGGTCAAATTTGACCGCGAACACCAAAGTAAGGGGGGGAAAACGAAGACAATAGGAGGGTTAAACATATCAGATTTGACCACACTAAAGTTAATTTTCATGTGGAAAACAAACAGCAACATCTGTTCCATTCATTTTGGTAATTAAACTGCAAAAGTGCAAAAATAATCGCTCCACTGAGTTAAAGTGTCATACTGTATCAGAGCTGCAGTGCTGTGTTATTACTGTGTGCACGACAGATGGTGTCTTCAAAAAAGGATTGACAACGCAGAAACAAAACATGCACCGTCTCCTCCTCAGTGAATGCTGATGTGAACTGAAATTTGTCAAATTGATCAGGGGCTACAATCTCTCAAAACTCACTTTAGTATTACAGCTCTGACATAA